CCCCTGTGTCCTTGCCCAAACTCAAAAAAGCCTATGAAAAAGGTACCAGGGGCATCTCATGGGGCCCCCTACTGACCCCGGGCCCTCGGGCAGTGCCTGAGTTTCCAAATGGTCAATCCGCCCCTGGTCCCTAACCCTCAACAACAATAGAATCCCAGCAGCAACAACAGATCTCCTAGAAACCAGCATCAATGGACTTTCCAGCAGCCAGCAACAACAAACCCCTCCCTTAACAGTACATCCCTTCCAGCAACAATTGACCCCCATCAACAATGATCTCCCCACTAGCAATAACAGACCTCCCCAGCAACAATAGACAACCACACAAAAATAGATCCCCTTCAGTGATAATAGATCCCCAGCACCCAGCAACAATAGATCCTCCAGCACACCCAGCATCCCTTACCATTACATACATTCAGTGCTGGATGAGCTGGAGGTTCCCCCGTGTTCCCTCTGAAAAAAAAAACCCTGACAAAAAAATATAGACAAACATAATAAAAGAGATAAAACACCTCTATAAACCTCAAATATTTTGTATATGGATGCCTCCTAGTATTAAATATGTTATACAAACTACAACTGAATGTCCAATTGGATATATATATGCTCAATTTTGTCTTCAAGAAGCACATAACAGATGTCATCCACACACTGTATTTCAATTAGGTGCACATGATGGGAAGATCTCTGTTTATTGAACAAAACGTGTTGTCCAGAGGAGGACTGACAAAAAGTCATTCAACTGCATGCACCCTCTAACAGCTGAGAAGGAAAAACTACTATGGTAGTTTTATTATGTTTTCTATTTTGAAAATGTTTTTAATGCTTTATAATAAAAACATTAATTTTAAATATTTCTGATTCTTAATTTTTTTGTCACCTTAAAAATCCCCTTTCTCTCTTCTTCTATATGTGATATAGTTTCTATATGGGGATGTGGTGCCTGTGGTCCTCTGATACTTGGGTAGTTCATAAATAGCTTATGTCCATGCAAACACTGAAAGAGTCCTTTGAAGAATGAGAGTCAGTCAGAAAGATGGAAGATAGTCCCAGATATAAATAGGCACTATATTGCCAAAAGTATTTTGACGCCTGCCTTTACATGCACATGGACTTTAATGGAATCCCGGTCTTAGCCAGTAGAGTTCAATATTGAGTTGGCCCACCCTTTGCGACTATAACAGCTTAAACTCTTCTGGGAAGGCTGTCCACAAGGTTTAGGAGTGTGTCTATGGGAATGTTTGACCATTCTTCCAGAAGCACATTTGTGGGTCAGGCACTGATGTTGGACGAGAAGGCCTGGCTCGCAGTCTCCCCTATAATTCATCCCAAAGGTGTTCTATCAGGTTGAGGTCAGGATTCTGTGCAGGTCAGTCAAGTTCCTTCGCCACAAACTTGCTCATCCATGTCTTTGTGACCTTGCTTCCATGTCTTTGTGGACCTTGCTCATCCATGTCTTTGTGGACCTTGCTCATCCATGTCTTTGTGGACCTTGCTGATCCATGTCTTTGTCTCTTGCTTATCCATGTCTTTGTGGACCTTGCTCATCATCCCTGTGGACCTTGCTCATTTGTCTTTGTGGACCTTGCTCTGTGCATTGGTGCACAGTCATGTTGGAACAGGAAGGGGCCATCCCCAAACTGTTCCCACATAAGTGGGAGCATGAAATTGTCCAAATGTCTTGGTATGCTGACAACCTTAAGAGTTCCCATCACTGGAACTAAGGGGCTAAGCCCAACCCCTGAAAAACAACCTCACACCATAATCCCTCCCTCACCAAAATTTACAATTGGCACAATGCAGTCAGGCAAGTACCATTCTCCTGGCAACTGCCAAACCCAGACATGTCCATCAGATTGCCAAACAGAGAAGCATGATTCTTTACTCCAAAGAACACATCTCCACTGGTCTAGAGTCCAGTGGCGGCGTGCTTTACACCACTGCATCGGTCGCATTGCATAGCTCTTGGTGATGTAAGGCTTGGATGCAGCTGCTCAGCCATGGAAACCCATTCAGTTAAGCTCTCTATGCACTGTTGTTGTGCTAATCTGAAGGCCACACGAAGTTTGGAGGTCTTTAGCTATTGACTCTGCAGACAGTTGGTGACTTCTGCACACTGTGCGCTTCAGCATGCACTGACCCTGCTCTGTCATTTTACATGGCCTACCACTTCGTGTTCCCAGTTGCTTCCACTTTGTTATAATACCACTAACTGTTGAGCGTGGACAGGGGCGGACTGACCATTTGGAAACTTGGGCACTGCCCGAGGGCCCCGGGGTCAGTAGGGGGCCCCATGAGATGCCCCTGGTACTTTTTTCATAGGCTTTTTTGAGTTTGGGCAAGGACACAGGGGCCCCATGATCCCCTATTGCCCGGGGGCCCCATGAGTTGTCAGTCCGCCCCTGAGCGTGGAATATTTAGTAGCATGGAAATTTCATGGATGGACTTATTGCACAGGTGGCAACCTATCACGGTACCACGCTTAAATTCACTGAGCTCCTGAGAGCGACCCATTCTTTCACAAATGTTTGTAGAAGCAGTCTGCATGCCTAGGTGCTTGATTTCTTACACCTGTGGCCATGGAGGAGGTTGGAACACCTGAATCTAATGATTTGGAGGGGTGTCCCAAAACGTTTGGCAATATAGTGTATGTTCATATACTTATCAAATCCTTGTAGTCATTGGGAAATCAAAGCATTATAGCAAATAGGTCACTGGCAGGAAGAATCAATGAACTACATGGCGCTCAACAGCACCGTGGTAGTTCATTGAGAACTACAAGCTGACAGCCACAAAAGACTGTCAGAACTTGTACTTTGCTCATTCACAGAACACTGTGAATGAATAATGTGTCTGGGTGGGTGTAGCTGCGTTATTAAAAATTGTGACAGCTAGCAGGGAGAAGAATAAATTAAATTTGTAAAAAAAGCAATTAATGGTTGTTAAAGTGGTAGTAAACTAACAAAAGACACTGCAATCAGTATCAGAATGTGCTAGTATCACATTATGTAAAACGTACCTTAAAACAAAGCCCTCCAGCAGCCCTCTGTTACTGCTAACAGGTCTTCCGTTTTCTCTCTGCTCTTCTTCCGGGTTTGCGGGCTCTGGCAGCTTGAATGGCAGAGCCGTGCTGATGCCGCTCCTTACTTGTAGGCACAAGTGTAAAAACAGACTTGACTACCACTTTAAGAAGTTCTTAACAACTGATGGCTCATTCAGCTGTCAGCTGGGTTCCCCTGCTGACAGTGGAAGTGTAATCAAGCAGCCTGACAATGTTTACCAACATCATTGCTCAGCCTAAAGATAAAAAGAAACATTGTTTCATTTTGTATCTTTTTGTTTATTCATCTACAAATCAAAGGGATGAACTTCAGTTAAACTGTCATTTAAAAGCAACTTGTCAAGTAAAAAAAAAATTATTTTTTATAAATTAAATGTTCCTCTGTTGAACCACATCTTAACCCTTAATTTTCTCTGATCAGCCTTAGTTAACCTTTTATTTTCCTTCTTCATTTACTTCTTTTCCTGCTGATTTTTTTTGTTTGTTTCCATTTTATATTATTTATTTCAGGTACTTATATAGCACCATCAATTTACACAGCGCTTTACATATATATTGTACATTCACATCAGTCCCTAACTCTCAAGGGGTGTACAATCTAAGGTCTCTAACTCACATTCATACATACACATACTAGGGCCAATTTAGACAGGAGCCAATAAACCAACCAGCATGTCTTTGGAGTCTGGGAGGAAACCCACACAGGCACAGGGAGAACATACAAACTGCAGGCAGGAGGTGCTGTGGCTGGGATTCGAACCAACGACCCTAGTACTGCCAGGTGGAAGTGCTAACCATTTAGCCACTGTGCTGCCCATAAACTATTTTATAAACTATTAGTAATTAAAACTTTTTTTTTGTTTAGTTTGTTCGTTAATACTTTTCAACTTTAACATATGTTTACTTGTTTCACATAAAAAATGTGCAAAATTAAATTTTTTTTATTTATTTCATTTGTATATAACTTTTCAATGCTTTGTACCAGAATCTTAATTTTAGTGTCATTTTAACAGGACAAATTACAGAATAAAATGTACACTTTTATGTGCAGCAACACTATTTATTTTTAAAATAAAAGTGCCTTTTTTTTAGTTTTGGTACATTGCCTGTCTAAGGATTGTGAAAAAAAAAACTATTGTTGCAAGACAATATTCATGAAAAGAAAGGCTTGTTTGTCCTAAAAAAAAAAAAACCCCAATGTGTTACGTTGTTATCTTAACCTCCCTAGCAGTATGATTATTTCAGATTTTTGGTGCTAAAAGCGGTACCATTATTTTGTATGGAAATATGTAGTTTTTTTATTGTAGGCTGTAATTTTTAGGAATAACTCACTTAAATCTGTCCGAACAAGAGTCTAGTAAACATCCCGGGTATGATAAAATTTGAAACACAAAATCATAAATTATAATTTAATAAATAATCATAAAAAATAATAATATCATAATAATACATTTAATTCAATAATATAATCAAACCAAAAACACTGAAATTTGAAATATAGCTCCAAGTTCGCACATCACTGAGCAAAGTCGCAGAATCGTTTTCAGTGTTTGATGACGATTTTCTCCACAAATCATTATCACTCAATTCTGCAAGTGGTTCTGATTTACTATCGCTGTTCTCTAGCTGATCTAAACCCGCTTTTGACCTAAAGGGACACTTTTTGGACGCCATGGACTTTTCTAAGTTTCCAGGCAGAAAGAACAATCAAAATGCAGACAGGGGACAGGACAAAGCACTCGGGACAAAATGTATGTGAAATGGGTTGAAACAGCAATGTTTTACTATGTAAAATCGTTTTGAAAAAAATGACATTTTTTTTCTAATTTTCAAATTTCCCACCGCCGGCGGCGGCGCCCGTACGTCCCGACGTCACAGGGACCGGAAACACAGGAGCCGGATGCCGGCATCAACCCTCCTGCTGCAGGGGACACAGGTAAGTGCTGGAGGGACTCCCTATGCAGCGCCGCATGGTAAGCCCGAGTGTAGCTCAGGGTTACCGCTTTTGGTACTGAAACTTTACCCCGAGCTACACTCGGGAATACCGCTAGGGAGGTTAAGTAATGACAATGTGCCTTTCTTTCTTTCCTTTTCCAGGCCTCGGTTTCCAGAGGATATATGAGAGATACAAGTAGATCAGATAGATGTCAGGGGTATTTTGAAGCGGGTGGGAGGTGGGAGGGTTAAAAGGAAGGGAGTCATGGGGAGAAAATGATTTGAAATTAGTGTTTTATGAGATTTTGTAATGTTATATTTTACACTATGGAAATGTGTATTGTCTTACTTGAAAAATGAATAAATATTTAAATAAAAAAAAAAAAAGTAATGACAATGTTATTGCTGAATAAACAGGTCCATAGCAGAAATGTAAAATTTCCTCTGGTCCATAAGGGGTGAACAGGTGTGAAAGTCATAGTGGTTATCGAGTGGGGCCGCTGCGTCTTTAACAACCGATCACTCATTCAGCTGTCAGTAGGATTCCCCTGCTGAAAGGTAAACAAAACAGTTGCCGGCAGGTATTGGTAATTGGTATCGGCCAGTACCAAAAAAAATGTATTAGTACTCGTACTCGTAAAAAAAATGGTATCATTGCATCCATAAAGTTATAATCCTATACCCACAGTTGATCCAGAGGAAGGCAAAAAAAAAACAGCAAAGCATGATCCAATTTCTTCTTGCAGGGAAAAAATTCCTTCCTGATTCCCCAAGATGTAATCGGATATACCCTGGATCAACTGTACCTATAAATGTTAGTATCCAGTTATATTCTCTGTATCTAAGAAATAATCCAGGCCTTTTTTAAAGCAATCCACTGAGCTGGCCAGAACCAACTCTTGAGGGAGTCTATTCCACATTTTCACAGCTCTCACTGTGAAGAAACCTTTCCGTGTTTGGAGATTACATTTCTTTTCCTCCAGACGTAAAAAGTCCCCCCTTGTCCTCTGTGATGACCTCAGGGTGAATAGCTCTACACCGAGTTCACTATATGAACCACTGATGTATTTATACATGTTGATCATATCCCCCCTTAATCTCCTCTTCTCAAGAGAGAATAAATTCAGTTCCTCTAATCTTTCCTCATAGCTGATCTCCTCCATGCCTCATATCAGTTTGGTTGCCCTTCTCTGTACTTTCTCCAGTTCTCCAATGTTCTTTTTGTGAATTGGTGCCCAAAACGGAATTGCATAGTCCAGATGAGGTCTTACTAATGATTTGTGCAGGGATAATATGATATATCTCTCTCTGGAGTCTATACCTCTTTTAATACAAGAGAGGATTTTGCTCTCTTTAGAAACCGCAGCTTGGCATTGCATGCCATTATTAAGCTTGTGATCTACCAGAACCCCCAGATCCTTCTCCACCATTGATTCCCCCAGTTGTACTCCCCCTAGTATGTATGATGCATGCATATTCTTAGCCCCCAAGTGCATAACCTTACATTTATCAACATTAAACCTCATTTGCCACATAGTTGCCCAATGAAACAATGCATTGAGGTCGGCTTGTAAGTTGAAGACATCCTGTAAGGACGTTATTCCACAGCACAGCTTGGTGTCATCTGCAAAGACTGAAATGGGATTTATAATCCCAGACCCTATATCGTTTATAAATATATTAAAAAGTAAGGGTCCCAACACTGAACCTTGGGGTACACCACTGACAACCCTAGACCATTCAGAGTATGAATCATTAACCACTACTCTCTGAATACGATCTTTTAGCCAGTTTTCTATCCAATTACATACAGATTTTTCCAAGCCAGTAGACTTTACCTTACACATTAGCCATGTGTGGGGAACTGTGTCAAACACTTTTGCAAAATCCAAGTATACCATGTCCACCGCCACCCCTCTGATCAAGGTTTTGCTCACCTCCTCATAAAAAGAAATCAGATTAGTTTGTCTTTCATGAATCCATGCTGTCTGTTGCTTAAAATATTTTTTTCCAGCAAAAACCAATATACAGTTGCAAGAAAAAGTATGTGAACCCCTTGGGATTACGTGGAGTTGGGCATAAAATGTGCTCTGAACGTCATCTAAGTCACAACAATAGAAGAACACAGTCTGCTGAACATAATGCTACACAAACATTAGATGTTGCCATGGTTTAATTGTACATAACATGTAAACATTCACAGTGCAGGGAGGAAAAAGTATGTGAACCTTTGGACTTAATAACTGGTTGACCCTCCTTTGGCAGCAATAACCTCAACCAAACATTTCCTGTAGTTGCAGATCAGACCTGCACAACGATCTGGAGTAATTTTGGACCACTCCTCTTCACAAAACTGTTTCAGTGTAGCAATATTCTTGGGATGTCTGGTGTGAATCGCTCTCTTAAGGTCATGCCACAGCATTTCAATCGGGTTGAGGTCAGGACTCTGACTGGGCCACTCCAGAAGGTGTATTCTGTGCTGTTGCAGCCATTGTTTTGTTGAATTACTTGTATGCTTTGGGTCATTGTCCTGTTGCATCACCCATCCTCTGCGGAGCTTCAGTTGGCGGACAGATGGTCGTACGTTTTCTTGCAAAAATGTCTTGATAAACTCTGGAATTCATTTTCCCATCAATGACAACAATCCGTCCAGGCCCTAAGGCAGCAAAGCAGCCCCAAACCATGATGCTTCCTCCGCCATGTTTTACAGTGGGGATGAGGTTTTGATGTTGGTGTGCTGTGCCTTTTTTTTCTCCACACATAGTGTTGTGTGTTCTTCCCAAACAACTCAATCTTGGTTTCATCTGTCCACAGTATATTTTGCCAGTAGTGCTGTGGAACATCCAGGTGCTCTTTTGCAAACTTCAAATGTGCTGCAATATTCTTTTTGGACAGCAATGGCTTCCTCCATGGTGTCCTCCCATGTACTCCATTCTTGTTTAATGTTTTCCTTATTGTAGATGTGTCAACAAAAATGTTAGCATGTGCCAGAGATTTCTGTAGGTCTTTAGCTGACACTCTGGGATTCTTCTTTACCTCATGCAGCATTCTGCGCTGTGCTCTTGCAGTCATTTTTACAGGACCACCACGCCTAGGGAGAGTAGCAACAGTGCTAAACTTTCTCCATTTGTAGACAGTCTGTCTTACCGTGGACACATGAACATCAAGGCTTTTGGAGATACTTTTGTAACCCTTTCCAGCTTCATGCAAGTCAACAATTCTTGATCGTAGGTCTTCTGAGAGCTCTTTTCTGCGAGGCATGGTTCACATCAGACAGTGCTTCTTGAAACCAGTAAACCCAAAACAGGTGTGTGTTTTTTAAGGGCAGGACAGCTGTCAGCAACACATCCAATACCATCACACTGATTGGAGTCAAGGTTGGCTCAGTCCTGGCTCCAATTAGCTCTGGGAGAAGTCATTAAGCTAGGGCCTCACATACTTTTTCCTCCCTGCACTGTGAATGTTTTCATGTTATGTGCAGTTAAACCATGGCAACATCTAATGTTTGTGTAGTATTATGTTCAGCAGACTATGTTCTTCTATTGTTGTGACTTAGATGACGTTCAGAGCACATTTTATGCCCAATTCATGCAAAACTCCACGTAATCCCAAGGGGTTCACATACTTTTTCTTGCAACTGTATGTGTTATGTTGTTATCTTATAATGTAGCAAGTAACATGTTATGAAAGGTGAACTAAGCAGCTACAAAAACACTTACCTGTCCCTCAATCACGTGGTGTCCCCCCCGCAGCCTGTTTCAACAATTGTCCGGTGTGCCCAGCATGCAGCTTCACAGCTGAGTGCTCACTGCGCATGCACGAGTAGCGCTGCACTTTGTGACTGGTCCCGTAGTCGTCTGGGACCTGTCACATGTCCCAGAAGACTACGAGCCTAGGCGATTGCAGCTGAAGTGGAAGCGGGTACCTGTCAATTTCAGGTGCCTGCTCCCCAAAGGTGCCAATCCTTAACGGGGAGCGGGGGACCAGCAACAATACTCAGGTAGGCTATGGCATTTAAACAATGCTCAATTGGTACTAAGGGACCAAAAGTGTGCCAAGAAAATATACCCCACACCATTACACCACCACCACCAGCCTGAACTGTTACACAGTTATACAAGGCAGGATGGATTCATGCTTTCATGGAAAGTTATGTCCCTACCATCAGAATGTCGCAGCTTGAAATCAAGACTCATCAGACCAGGCAACATTTTTCCAATTTTCTATTGTCTAATTTTGGTGAGCCTGTGTGAATTGTAGCCTCCGTTTCCTGTTTTTAGCTAACAGGAGTGGCACCGGTGTGGTCTTCTGCTGCTGTAGCCCATCTGCTTCAAGGTTTGATGTGTTGTGCGTTCAGAGATGCTATCCTGCATACCTTGGTTCTAATGAGTGGTTATTTGAGTTACTGTTGCCTTTCTATCATCTGAAACCAGTCTGCCAGTCTCCGCTGACCTCTGACATCAACAAGGTATTTTTGTCCACACAACTGCTGCTCACTAGATATTTTTCTTTTTTTTGGACCATTCTCTGTAAACCCTACAGATGGTTGTATGTGAAAATCCCAGTAGATCAGCAGTTTTTGAAATGTATTGTGTCCTCCTGCAACCCATAATGTGCCTCCTTGCTTGATGTATTGTGCCCTGCTGTACCCATAATGTGCCCTCCTGCTGTACCAATAATGTGCCCTCCTGCTGTACCAATAATGTGCCCTCCTGCTCCCATGTATTGTGCCCTGCCATGTACCTATACAGTGCCCTCCTGCTCCCTATGTATTGTACCCTGCTGTGCCCCATAGTGTGCCCCCTTAACCCCATATATTGTTGTTTGCTATGCCCCATAATGTGACCTTGTGCCCCCTATGTAATGCGCCCTCCTGTCTCCACATGATGTGCCTTGCTGTGCACTATAATGTGCCCTTCTGCCCCCATGTAATGTTCACTCCTGTGCCCCATATTGTGCCCTCCTGTCCCCATGTAATGTGCCCTCCTGTGCCCCATATTGTGCCCTCCTGCCCTTATGTATTTTACCATGCCCCATGATGTGCCCACCTGCCCCCCCCCTTGAAATGTATCCTGCTGTGCCCCAAAATGTGCCCACCTGCCACCTATAAATTGTGGTTTGCTGTGCCCC